AGCTTGCTGCATCAAATTGGTTTCCCAGGGAGTCAGATGAATATCAAAACAGGGGATGGGACCAGCCCATTTGAGCCTATTCTGTAAATTATTGGATTGGCTCAGCTGAATTGTCTAATTGCACTGTAATTACAGAGAGCAGGGAACAGGCCTCACCCTCTGAAATGGGAGGTAGTTCCATTGGCATGATAGTCTTTGGAAACACAGGCTTCTAAACCACAGCTAAGAAGAAATGTGACAAAGTAACTCTGGAATATAATTTGGTGATTAATAGAGCCTACATAGAAAATGTGTTGTCAGTTCCTGTCAGAGAACATGAATGCAGTCATTGTTAAGAATATCTGAAACTTTAGCATTAATCAGGAAGAAGGGACCATTTTGTTAGAGAAGGTGAGAACTTTTCAAAAGTGAAATTCAGTGGTAGTACAACTGAAATATTTGTTTACTGTCCTAGATTTAGATAACAGAGTGGTTGGATTTCTGAAAGATTCAGAGGAAAAGGTTAGTGTATTTTTACAACTGAATGCATGTAAAGTATCATTTGATTGAATTAGCACTGGAGAATATTTTACTGAAAAATAATAGATTCTGACATTTAAAAAGCAGACATAGCTGTTGAAACCTACACTGAGCACATTTGTTTTTAACTTGTTTCGTCTGAGCCTTATTCAACTTGCTGCTCTTTGGGTAGGAACCACAGTTATTGAGCTTATAGGACACAAGCGTAGGAAAGGTACAATAATAAAAAGTGTGAAAGATACTGTCATGATACAGAATCCATAAGGGCTATGCCTTAAGCTAGTGGGAGCTTTCCTAAGAAGCTGCAGATGGCAGCGTGTTTCCCACCAATGAAAATTATGAGAGAGACATTAGGATGGTCTCTGAGGAGGAACAGAGTATCTGTAACTGCCTTCTGTTTGTGAAGGATGACTCACTTGCGGCCAAAAATAGGTAGTACTAGTCTCTCTTCTCTTTACTAATCCTAAAACTGCTCACAAGTGGTAGGTTATGTTGCTGATCGTGTAAAAGCAATGGAATCGCTTCAGAGCTACCTTTCCCCCGCTACGTCAGCTTCCTTCTCAGTGGTTTTGAATCCAGGATGATTTCACTGCAGTGTAAGCCTATCTAATTGGCTATTGCATGGTACTGCCGATTTTTCCTTGCCGTGTATTTCTGCTGCTTCCTTTGGGTTTGTTTGACCCCCAATGTGAAGAAGGTTTCGGGCAACTGATTGTGAGACACTGTTCACTTTTTTTAGCTTGGTTAGTTTTCCGCCAGGTTATCTTTTCGAGCCAGCTTACCAGAAAATTAGGTAACTGCCAGTACAGTGCAAGAGAGGATGTGGAAATGCATAGTTAAAGGCAAATGGAAGGACGTGACTATAGCAAGGCTAACTTACATCAGCTTAATACAACCTGAATGTTATGAATATAACTCACAAAGAATACTGATTATTTTAGTAATTATCTGCTTGCACACATTGCCTTTGTACATAAAACAAAGAAAATCTTGGAGGAGAGAGGGAATCCCCCACAGCTTTCAGAAAAGGTAGTACCAAAAAATGAACGATATATCAATAAGTAAAACATCCAGCCCAGAAATATCTTGAGCAGGAGTTGAAGGTTCTGCAGCCACTAACATAAACATCCAGTGACCAAATGTTTCTCTGATGCTCCGCTTCCCCTCTCCCCTGTTTCCTCCCAACACTCATGGTTTGAAGTTAGCGAAGTCCAAGCACCAGAGGGGTATTTGAACAGACCTGTCTCCAGGAAGTGCTGGCAGCGTTTCATGAAGGGGTTCTTGGCCTTTGCCTCAGTATCATCTGTCTGTATGCTGTTGTTAGCAGCAACGATGCTACTTATGGCTACTCTGCTACCTCTGCGTTGTTAACTCATTCCACTGATGCTCTGGGCCACAGTGCCATCTTTATGCTCTTTGATTTTGGTCTCAGTTCATCCCTGCCCAGCTCACTAATTTCAGGTCCATTGTTGCTGGAAAAAGAAGCTCTCATTGGAATTTGCTCTGTTGCTGTTTCTGCAGCAAAAAGGGACCGCCGCCACCGTTTCCCATTGCGATGTCATATACAGTTGTGAGAATTTATAGAGTGTTGGTGAGATCAGCTGCATGGGTCCTAGGGAAAGGAGACAGTCTTACTGAGGACGTGCAATTGTCGCTGCCGTATGCAGCTTCTTAGGAAAGCTCCCATTAGCTTACATAAGGGTATCAGTTCCAGAGCCAGTTTTGCTCTGACGTTCCAGTGTGAAACAGCTTTCTCATCATATGCAGAGTAATTATCTGCTGAAATAGTCTACGTAAGGGACAATCTCTAGCATTATGAATGTTTTGCTTACTGCCATAGGTTTGTACCTATAAAAGAAGTTAGAATTCCATATAAACCAATTTTATTTTTCTCTTTTCAAGGAGCCTCAGTAAGGTAATAAGGTTAATGTTGAGGGGAAAAAACAGAACCTGCTAAAATTCACCGAAGAAAATATTGAGAGCAGTGTAGCAAATTTTATGTTATCTTGTAGGAGATAGTATTACATTATCCATTATCCCTTATTTTAAAATAAACACACACACACACACACACTTCTAAATCCCCCAATCTATTCCCTTTTTTTAAATATATAACTACAATGCCGAGTTTACAAAATAAAGCATTCCCATTGTGCAGAATTGGTTAAGTGGAAAAAATCTAAATGTCTTGAAAAGAGAGATTAGTTATGATTAATAACCCCTGGAGAAGAGGCAAATCAAGTGCCTTGAGAAGATCCTCAGAGAGGATATTTTAGGAACCTGGAGTAAGAAAGCTGGAATTGCTATGATGAATTATGGTTTTTGCATATAGGCTGATCTTGGTGCTGTCAAGATGCAAGTGCTGCAATAGCCATCGCAGGCTTCCGTGTACTAACTTGAAGGGCGCGCAGGGCTGACCCCTTGACAGTCATCAGTGAGTCAGTTTTGTAACTCTGCTCCTGAAAATACAGGATTTTATTGACATCATACATGTATAGAAATCCTAGCACTTTGAGGCCTAGGCCTTTGGCCTAGTGAGCTTATTAACCGATGGCTTTTATATCTGCAGTCAGTTAAGGGTCTTTTAGATGAGATCTGTGCTTGACTTTTTCTCCTGTGAGAGGTTCTGTATCAGCTGAGGCTGGAGTTGATTGTAGCCGTGCTCAGCTGATACCCAGTGTATGCTTCCTGGCAGACATGGGAAGATGAGAGTTTGCTGGGCTGATGCTAGAGGGCCAGCAGGACTTGTGCCTGGGTTAAGGAGCACCTTGGTTGGGGTTTGTACTGGGAGTAATTGAAACGTGAGGGTAGTGGGATTTGAACGAAAGCTTTCAAAAGAGCGTGCTCACATATGAGATTCACAGATGTTATGTTGCTGACCAGAGGGCTGCCTAAAATAGTTAACAGGAGACGGACGGCATTCAAACCCTGAAGAGAATGAGATGCCTAATGTGAAAGAGGTACCTTTTCTCTCTGGTGTTCTTAGTTAGGAACACCCTCTTAAAATGAGTTGTCTGAAGCGTAGCCCTGCTGGTGGAGGATGGACCGGAACGAGCGTTTCCCATAATGCAGGTATTTTACTGATGAGCAATTGACTGAGGAGGAATCCTGCTCCTCTTCTGAGGAGGCTTGATCCATTATGTATATTCAGACTACATGTAACAGATGGGGGCTCATAAGTGAGAAACTTTCAGAATCCTGCTGATGTTTCAGTTTGCAGCTGCTCAGCCCTCCTCTTCCTTCAGCAGCCCTCCTCTTCCTTCAGCAGCCCTCCTCTTCCTTCAGCAGCCCTCCTCTTCCTTCAGCAGCCCTCCTCTTCCTTCAGCAGCCCTCCTCTTCCTTCAGCAGCCCTCCTCTTCCTTCAGCAGCCCTCCTCTTCCTTCAGCAGCCCTCCTCTTCCTTCAGCAGCCCTCCTCTTCCTTCAGCAGCCCTCCTCTTCCTTCAGCAGCCCTCCTCTTCCTTCAGCAGCCCTCCTCTTCCTTCAGCAGCCCTCCTCTTCCTTCAGCAGCCCTCCTCTTCCTTCAGCAGCCCTCCTCTTCCTTCAGCAGCCCTCCTCTTCCTTCAGCAGCCCTCCTCTTCCTTCAGCAGCCCTCCTCTTCCTTCAGCAGCCCTCCTCTTCCTTCAGCAGCCCTCCTCTTCCTTCAGCAGCCCTCCTCTTCCTTCAGCAGCCCTCCTCTTCCTTCAGCAGCCCTCCTCTTCCTTCAGCAGCCCTCCTCTTCCTTCAGCAGCCCTCCTCTTCCTTCAGCAGCCCTCCTCTTCCTTCAGCAGCCCTCCTCTTCCTTCAGCAGCCCTCCTCTTCCTTCAGCAGCCCTCCTCTTCCTTCAGCAGCCCTCCTCTTCCTTCAGCAGCCCTCCTCTTCCTTCAGCAGCCCTCCTCTTCCTTCAGCAGCCCTCCTCTTCCTTCAGCAGCCCTCCTCTTCCTTCAGCAGCCCTCCTCTTCCTTCAGCAGCCCTCCTCTTCCTTCAGCAGCCCTCCTCTTCCTTCAGCAGCCCTCCTCTTCCTTCAGCAGCCCTCCTCTTCCTTCAGCAGCCCTCCTCTTCCTTCAGCAGCCCTCCTCTTCCTTCAGCAGCCCTCCTCTTCCTTCAGCAGCCCTCCTCTTCCTTCAGCAGCCCTCCTCTTCCTTCAGCAGCCCTCCTCTTCCTTCAGCAGCCCTCCTCTTCCTTCAGCAGCCCTCCTCTTCCTTCAGCAGCCCTCCTCTTCCTTCAGCAGCCCTCCTCTTCCTTCAGCAGCCCTCCTCTTCCTTCAGCAGCCCTCCTCTTCCTTCAGCAGCCCTCCTCTTCCTTCAGCAGCCCTCCTCTTCCTTCAGCAGCCCTCCTCTTCCTTCAGCAGCCCTCCTCTTCCTTCAGCAGCCCTCCTCTTCCTTCAGCAGCCCTCCTCTTCCTTCAGCAGCCCTCCTCTTCCTTCAGCAGCCCTCCTCTTCCTTCAGCAGCCCTCCTCTTCCTTCAGCAGCCCTCCTCTTCCTTCAGCAGCCCTCCTCTTCCTTCAGCAGCCCTCCTCTTCCTTCAGCAGCCCTCCTCTTCCTTCAGCAGCCCTCCTCTTCCTATTCAACAGACAGTTACCTTAGCCTTTGGGCTCTGAGTGCCTTCATCAGTGACAGCTGAGTAGGGATTTTGGAGAAGGAAAGTTTGGACTTTATTGTGTTCTGCAGAATTTAACTTGTAGATCTAGTCCCACGGGATTTTACTGGGGGAAACTGGAGTGCTAGAGCTAGGTGGTGTTTTTATGAACACCAGTCACATTAAGTGTTGGATTTCAGTTGTCATTTGGGTGCTTAGACTCTTGCAGAATTAGCCATTTGAGCCTGTCTGATCCTTCTCCGTTAATGTAAATGGTAGTTTCACCTGCTTTTCACTAGGTGCACCAAGCCTTTTTTTTGTAGTAAGTTTATAATTTTTAATATATGTATATGTGTCTCTTAAACCACGGTTTTTCAAATACAAAAAGCTTATGCCAGTGGTGTTTTTTCCCAGTCCTTTACAGTCTGTATAAATTGGAAAAATGATCTAAAAATAAACTAATTCAATATAGCGAAGTAAAAAGTACTCAGTACTGGAAGAGGAACAATTAGCTGCAGAAGTGCAAGATGGGAAACAGCTGACTAGGGAATATTTTTTCAACAAAGAATCAGGGATTTATAACAGCTTACAAACTGCATGTGAGTCAACAGCATCAGGTTTCTGCCCTATTTGTTTTGTTGTATGTGAGCTTTATCAAAATCTGTTACTGGCTGTGTTAAAGAATTCTTGCACTGCACAATATTGCCACTTGCTGGCAGCAAGAGTCTAAAAATGTGTTGAAAGAAATTCTTTTAAGATTCTCTTAGGCAATACCACTGTTATATACACACACTCATGATATAAAAAAGATTTTTAGGCTTGCTGAGGCATCTGATTTTCTCCTGCAGAAGCATTTGAAACAAGGATAACAAAAAAAGAAGAAAAGATATTAATGGTATAAAAGTACGTGCATCTGTTGTAAAGCAGATCAAGGTGATTAGAAAAACAGCAGAAATATTACTTTTCCAAGAACAGTTATGGTTTTATGCTTCTGTTCTCAGTGGAAACTTGGACATACAGCCTCCAAAGGTACTACAAAGATTTTGAAGTTTATGAGGCACGAGCGCTTCGTACCTTGGAATCTACACTAACACATAATCGAAACTGAAAGCGATAATGTTTTTTACTAACTGCTTTTTGTATTGTGTTGTGAGTATGTCCACTTCCATTGTTTCTGGACAACAGAAATTTTTAATGCTGTTAACACTTCAGGTCATTGGCAATAGCATAATATCTTTGACTTTATAACACATTTTGTCTGTCTTGTTCTTGCTTTTTTTTCACTACAAGGGAAGTCAACAGCTGAAGTTCAAAAATTGTGAATAAAATATATGTTTAGTGATGATTTGTAAAGTGAATGCTGATTATGTACTTTTTAGAAAAAGTTGTTCCATTCCTTTTTTGTAAACGTTTTTTATGTTTAGATTTCACAGAAATTAAGTGATGAAGATCTCTCTCCAGAAACAAGCCTGTGTCTAGATGCATTTCTGGAGGAGCTAATAATGATTCCAAAAGAACAGACACCGCAAGATATATTTCCACATGTTTTAGAAGATTGCCAGAGAACGAGCCTGACGGTTATTGACACAGATAACACAGTAAAAGAACATTCCCTTAAAAATGATACAGATCTCTCATTGACATCCTTAGGGACGATTTTCATGGAAGCGTTCTCTGAACAGAGAATACTGACGAGTGAATTTGAAATCAGTGATTTGTTGAAGCCTCTCAGTGATTCAGAGAGTCCTAAAATGATAAACCCGTTGCGTGACGTGTTAGAGTGTCAGGGTCATGCCTTATCCATTGATACATCAGCAGATGAGAAAAGCGATGCCCTGCCAGTTGAGCTTGTGGCAGCTCTGAACTCCTTGTCAGGATCTGTAGTACAGGTTGTCGCTCCTGAAGTGCCAAATGAGAGGCAGCTTAGCACTGAGGAAGAGCAGTTAAATTTAGAACCCAGTATTCCCCGGCTAGATGATGACTGTACACAGCTAACAAATACATTTGAGCCTCAGCTTTCTACAGTTCAGGCAGAAGAAATAAAAGCCATAACACGATCTGACTTGCAGAGGACAACGAATGAGCAAGTACGTGTGCGGGTTAATTAGTACTTGAAAAGTTATGTATGTCTTAGACTATTCTATAGAATAGTCAAAATACTTGGAGATGTAAATCTTAGCAGAGAACAAACTGCCATCAGTAATTTACATGTTTAATATCTTTTCATTGATTTTTGTTTCAGAAGTCCAGTAATATTTTTCTGTTTTGATATATTCTTATTATGAGGATGGCTTAGCTTTCTGGGATAGGTAATCCTAGTAAAGTTAAGGGTTTTTTTACTTTTTTTTTGTTTTGTTTTGTTTTTAATTAGTGACTGCCATGGCTAGAATTAGTATGGAATTTTAAAAACTCCTGTTCCCTCTATATATCTTCTTTGTCTCACATCTTCTCTAAAGAAAGTGCCAAAACACTCTTCTGAAATGCTGTTATAGCACCCTGGCATAAGCCTGCTGATTTTAAGCCGTTTCCTACCCTATCGTTTTTTGTTTACTTTTCCGTATGATAGTATGCTGTGTTTTCTGCTTTTGTAGCTCCTGTCCCTGTAGTGTATAAATGCTTTGCAAGTATTACAAAAAGAAATTTTAGGCATGTCTTCCCTGCAGACTAGCCAGATTACTTTATGGGGATTCTTTTACATGTATGTTTAGGAGTGGGAATGTCTGTGTTGTTTAGCTCTGCCTATGAGAGGCTTACTGAAGAAGCTGAGACAAGTTCTTATGTTTATGTCCTCCACTCAAGATGCTAGTATGTATGGATACAAGCGGTGATCCTTCTTTCTTTTTTTATCTCTTGTCCTGTGCTGTTCTCAACGTATGTCTTGTCCTGCAATGGTGATCTGCAACGGGTCATTTGAATTCAACAAGATGAAAGCAAAAAATCTAGGGAGGGACATGACAACAACATGTAATTTCTTCCTGTTCAGGTTATCATGAAGGAAAGAGAAAGACCTACGTGTTTATGCTATGGAGTGTGATAGACATCCCTTGTAAATCTAGAATCACATCCTCTGCTCTGCTTTGTTTCTGTGTAATCTGGTGCTGCAAATCAACAATAAACCACTATAGCTAGTTGAAGTGGTTTTACAGCCAGTTTTCTTCCACAGAATGGCATAAAGCATCTAAAGAATATTAATTAATTCAGACTTTTATTGGTTACATTAACTGAGTATCACAACGTGTAATAAAATGTGCTGCAAAGGTAGCTAATTTCAGAGTGCTGAAAGCTCTCTAGGCTTGTTCTCTCAGAACCATAGCAACTTGTAAAGCTTGTTTCAGTGAAGTGTAAATTTCTGAAATTTGTAGCGCAGATTGTCAAGCTTAGTAGATAGATTTACTCAATGTTGCAGTTAAGATTGTGAGTCAGGGTCCTTCGGGAATGTGGATGCATAATCTCTTTTTTAATTAATAATTTAATTTAGCTTGCTGATATCTCAGTTTCCTGTCACTGAAGGTGGAAGGTATGGAGGCAGTTTAACGAGGAAAAATTCTAGGTTAATTTGTTAGTAATTGTTGTGTTCTGACAGTATATTACTCTCTCTGGTCTTTCCTTATCCTTGCTTCTTCACAGTATGCTTATTCTGAGTGATGAAATGGGTACTGAAAAGAGGAGAGCCTGTATTGTCCTGTAGATGCAACTATGATGCTGTTCGCTCTTTCTCTCTTTCTCGCTCTCTTTCTCGCTCTCTTTCTCGCTCGCTCTCTTTCTCGCTCGCTCCTCTTCCCCTCCCCCCACCATATAGGCCATCTGTTGTAATATATGGTACCTTATAAAGCACATGCCTTTTTTTCTCTTTGAAATGTTTTCTTTGCTTTCTCTTACCCTCCTTCTATAGCAAATGCGGTGTCATGGAGAGTACTGGATTGATAGTTTTGTACACTGAAATGTTTGGTTTCCTGCAACTGCCATGTTAATGTATATCATGTCTTGACCTGGAGGGACCACTTCTAGGGATGCAGCTCACCCCTTCAGGAGCCTCTCTGCTGAATATGTCAATTAAAAAAAAAACAGTGAATGCTCCATTTCCATCCGTGTCCCAGGGAAGCACTGGCAAGTTTTCCTGTATCACTGTGAAAGAATTTGTAGAACAGTCATGCTCATGTTGTATGTGTACTGAGGGTGTGCCCTAAGGGCGTTCAGCACTACTCAAGCGAGTAATAAGCTAAAGTGCACCCAGGCCATTACAGCAGCTTCAGTGATACTCAGCAACGTGGTTCACTTTCAGCTCACTAAAATAAAGAATTAACTCAAGTAACTCAAGTTAACTACCGTGTGATAATTCATACTTAGGATGGGATTCCTCTCACTGTTAGAGATAAGCATCTGGTATACACCAACCAGCTGGTTCCCCTAACACACCTTAGCACAAGATAAATCAGTCTCTGAAAGTGGCTCTTCCTCTTCACTAATGATAGGGATGGCAGGGAGAACCAGGATGCATAGTGACATCTTGATGTCTGACTTTTAGATGGCTGCAGGTAAGTGAGATAAATCTCATCCGTGGTGGCTATAGCTCAGGAATCAAGATCGTATGTTTTTAGAAATAGCTTCTCAGCTAGGAATTACTGAAACTGTTGAAACACTTTTCCTGTCGATGTGCACATTTCTAGACTTGCACAAGACTGGAATAAAATGGGCTAGCTTAAGGCATCGTGAACATCACTTAATTTTTTAGGACAGGAACTCATGTCTATAGGGAGCTAGAATGAATCCGTTAAGTCATTTCACGTGTCCAACTAAACAGCTTTCAGATAACAAATTTTGTTCACTGTCAGCCAGGCTAGATTTATTATTTGTGTTTTGATTCTGAGTATCCTACTTCCCTTGGCTAATCCTCCCAGTGCTACATGATGTGGCACTGCTTTAGAAGTGCCTTTCTCTGTGGAAACCTGTCTGTGGTATCTGTAGAATTCCAGTTATCACTTAACTATCCCTTCCATTCTCCGTATTTTATTCCATTGTCTGTAAGCACATATATAATTTATAAGACGATGTACTTTGAGCCTTTAATATTTATACAGCCGTTCTTTTAACAGTTTGTTTACTGGTCACTTGCAGTATTTCTTTTTTTTGTCACAGCTTGTGGGTGATCAGCAGAGAGAGAAAGAGGTAATTTCAGATTATTGGAGTGCCACCTTGCATGAAAATTCTACTGAGGAGGGAAGTTCACGTTCACTGGAGACTGACTTGTGTGCAGAAACTACCAAAGCAACATCAAGGAGAGCAATGCAGATAAGGGGGACCTCCTCGAGAAAGCGCAGAGATCATGTTTCCAGTTGTCACCAAATACTACAAGAGACTCAGCAGAGGATATCTCACAATGGCAATACAACAAGAAACAAAGCTAAGGATTTTGAGTATGACAAAATCATGCATAATATTCTTAAATTCCTGTTTGTATTAATGTAACAGATGTGATGCAGACCAGTCGTTCCTCATGTTAGTGATTTTAAATGATCAAAAGGTAAAAGTTTTAACATTTTACTTGCAGATCTGGCAGTCGGTTTTTGCCCTGATTTACCTTCTTTTCAGTACTACCAAAGTTAGCAAACATACTTGCATGCTATTATAAACTTCATTTTAAAATTAAATATGTTTACATTTTTAGCTCTACTATAAGCACTGCTTTACTGTATACAGAGAAGACAATATTTTTATTGATTCTAAACCAAATGTCTTGTCAGAAAAATTCAGAAGTCTACTTCTAAAGACAAGCAGGATCTAGAAACCAACATATGTCAAAGGATGAATGGAAATAGAACAGCTGAGCAGACAAGGAGAAGCAAAAGAATCAAAAAGAAAATTAGTAAGATGTTCTCTGGTGTTTATTTATCATATAAATTTTTTTGATTTCAGCAAATGTACTGAATGAAGTATAATTCATAGCCTTTCCTATATATCGTGGTATGTTTTTATTTTAAAAAGAAGCTATAAACATTGATTGTTAAAATTATGGGTGATTTACACAATTTCCTTCACTTGTGTAAATATACACATTAGCAACGTAACAGTTGACTTGTGTACGTAAACTCATTATGAACCATGAGAAACTTTTCAGGATGCAATTTTTATCGCATAGTATTATAAATAAAAAAAAAAAAAATTATGGTGTATTCTGAAAAGCAAAAGGAAAAATGCATTCATACAGAGTGAAGATGTAGATCCTGATTCTGTAATCTAGTATTCTTGGTGCAACGTCTTTTTGAAGGGAATGCCATCCTCAATAATTGACCTATACGAAGCAGATTAACAACAGGCATTTAAAGCAGAGTATTCTGTCAGTTTTAAATATAGGGCCTTCACTACTGCAGTCACTAAGCACTCTTTGAAGTATTCTTCCTTGCAACGTGCTTTGTCAGAGAAAAAGATTGCTATTTTTCTTCCTTTAAAGATGAGGAACTGGCATGCAAAGAAGTTCTCTGCCTCACCCAGGAAGTGTGTGGGAGAATATAGAATTCACTTATGTGCTCACTCCAGAGCCAGCCTTTCTTTAAGACAAGAATCTTAAAAGGTTTTTTCTTTAAGCCTATTCAGTCTGGCTTTATCAGTGCACCTACAATCGTTTGAACAACTTAAAGTTTGGAAGTAGTTGAACTGTAACAGCTATGTTATAGACCTTATAAAATATGAATAATTCTACTACCATTTAGCAACCCTTCTCTCTCAAAGGGTTTTCGTTATTCCCAGTGGAAGCACCACTTTTATGAGACTCAAGGCTGGATGACTAACCAGTCTTGTGTTTCAAGTTGACTTAGTAGTTTTCACTTGAAAAATAAGCTGTTGGTGTTTTTAGCATAACTTCTACAGAAAGAGTGAGCCTGTAGAGGTAGCTTCATGTTAATCCAATCTAACAAGGTTACCTCCATTTTGCATCAGATCTTGTAATCGAGACTGAGTCAGCTCAGCTTGATAATTCACCAAAAAAACAGCCCCACAAAAGTTCCAGTTTGGTTCAGCAAGCCGTACTTGTTTTGCACAGTTGCTGGGTCTGACGCAAGAAAGGTGGCAAGGAAGGCAGGGTAGAGGTGGCAGGGAATAAGTCCTCTTGAAGTTACAATGTGTATTAAATGGGATTAAGCGTAACATAAAACTACACCTTGTTCTGTTTATGTCTATATGATTTGTCCTTCCTGCTGGACAAGTCTATATGATTTGTCCTCCTGCTTCCTGTCCTAACTGCTGGACTGGTTTCAACCAGCTTTGACTGTGGACTGTAGTATCATGGATGATTAATGTCTTACAAGATTAGACAGGTCGTGGAGAAAGACTCTCCATGCACTCAGCTGAGAAGGTGCTAGGTAATCCATTTGGAAACCAATTGGTTTCCAAAAAGCTACACAGGATCAAACACTCAAGGTTAGGAATGATTTAATCTGAGCTCGCAGTCTATCACAATGTACAAAGCAGTAGAGACGTGAGGCTTTATGAGTTCTATAATGCTTAAAACAAAAGATCTATTCCTGTAACCTGGGTAGAGTTTTGAGGCCAGCAAGCTACATCTGCTACTACTGATTGTGGAGAGGAGCAGTGAATGTAGCCTGTCATTCCTCCAAACCCAAGGTTTTTCACTAGTAGATCAACACAGTGGCTGGGCCATGCATTGTGCTTTCCTGCAAGCCATCCTTCCCTCCCTTCATACCTCCCTGTTTTCTAGAAGAGGCAATAGCACAGATGCCCTTCTCCGTGGTATGAAGAGATGCTGGATGGTACTCTGCTGGTAAAGTATGGGACAGCCTATCTATATAGCAGATACAGTTTTCAGTTTTGGTGAGTTGATAATGGCTGCATAGTGGGAGATAGAATTTGTTTTGTAACATAATAAACTAATAGTTAAAATAGTATTTGTTTCGTGTGTGTGTGTGTATATGCACACACATATATGTGTATATATAAAATTATGTTTAAGCCTCTGACTCCCAAGCAGGAATAATTTTCAGTGGGATAGCTAATGAGCTTTTGTCCCAACTGTTCACTTTTTCCTCGTTACACAAATACCTGAGCTACTGGTGAAGCAAAGGGGTAAGGTAATCTGAGGGAGCTAATCTCATTCACTATCCTAGTGTAATTCCTCTTTGCTCATGTGGCAGAGGCTTTAAAACATAAATGTGTACAAAAATGAATTATTGATAAGTATGATTTTTAAGAAAAGAGAAATTATTAAATAACTGAATAGCTTTTGAAATGCTCATCTTGTAATGAGTTCTAACCTACAATAGTAATTTTATCAACTGGTTGGAAACAATGCATTTTGCAAAAATGTCATTAAAAAGCAGAAATCCTAAACTTAAAACATTTTTAAAACTCTTATTCTTCTGTGCTGAACTCTAGTTAGATTTTTGTTATGGAATTCATGGTAAAAGGCATCTTTTATTGGAAGGGATTATTATTGAATTGGTAACATCTCTTTTGAAATATTCATTTCCATTAAACTAAATGAATTTTTTTTTCTTCAGAAAGCTTGCTCACTAAGTGAAATGCAAACAAAAGCCAAAGTAAGAGAGGAAAGACATTTTTCTGTTCAACACATCTTTTAAATTATTTTTCAGGACAAGAAGCCTGTATTAGGAATTCTCTAAATCCTGTTTTCCCCATTTCACTTTCAAGAATCAATAGGAGGAATATTTTTGGTGAGACTTTACTGCATAAAGCTGTTGCTGATGAAGATATAGACCTTGTATGCAATATAATAAAAGCTGGTGCAAACATAAATGCTCAGGATTATGCTGGTAAGTTGCAATTGTAGTTCAAATACAGTCTACTATTTTCAAAACAAGCATCTAGGTATAAGTAATGAATGCACATATTATGCATATGTGCAACGAGGGATGCTATAGTTTTTTTGCTAGTAAGTAGATTATTGAATTTTTATTGGTTTAACTTGGTAACCGTTCATGAGAAAATATACAGACCCTATATATAGGTGTATTAGAAAAGAAAAATTTCCTGAAAGTATGTACTCGAAAACTGAAGAAATACTGAAATTAAGTTTACTTAGCCTTAATTCAGCAACCTGTGCATGCTCATCAGGAAATAATTCCTTAATCATGCAACCAATGAACTGTTTTCCACAGCTTTTATTTGTTTGTTTGTCCATTTCAGTGTCCAACTTGAGATTCCAAAAAATAGATTTCTAGTTTAATTTTTCAGAGGCTTTGATTTTGCCACTTATATCTTAAAGAAAGTTGTAGCTTCATAGCTTAGAACTACTTTGATTCAGTTAGTTTGTAATTGCTTGATAGTTCACGTTTTTGTTTCTTCTTGGGCCCAAAAATGAATGACAAGCAGTGGCCAGCTGTGAACATTTTGATTTAAACAATTGACCATATCTAGCTTCATGTGTGATACTCTGTGGCAAAGACAGTACTGTTCCCTGAAGTATCAAGTGGTTGTCTCAAACATAAGACTGTCCTTCCTCATTTTGCAGTTCCCTGCATAATTCATTGGACTGTGATAAACTTCCATAAAAAAGGAGGAAATGGTTTCACAGGCAACTACATCATTCAGTAGAAAACCTTGATTCATTCCTAGAACATGTCCATCTCGTGTGGTGGCTAAAGACTTCACAGCTGTTCTGTGGGAACAGGAAAAAAAAAAAAAAAAGATGTGCAGTTGAAAGCTATTGCATAGTGAATGAATATAATAGACCAAAATTAAGTTAGAAATTCTGTCTTCTGGAACATACTGACTTACAGATTAGGTCAGCAGCAGGATCCAGACTTTATAATTTAGGACTCTGCTGTTTGAACTACCAGAGTGACTCTCAGAGTGCTAGAGGCAGCTGAGAAAAAGATTTTGTTTGTGGGTTTCAAAGCCATATACTGACAACAGAGAACTGTTAGTATCATGGGTTCAGCTGCAGGCTTTGTGGGGAAGTGCACTGAAGTGCAGTGCTTCCAGATTTTGACCTCACTGCTGCTGCTTTTTTCTCCCTTTGCACCTTTTGCTGGGCTGCTATTTCTTCACTCCCTCAGACTCTGGCTGCTATCTTTTGGTGTAAAAGGAGCACAACTGCGTAAAATGTGCTTTAAGTGAACTCCTTGAAGAGATAAGAGGCTGACCTGACCCCCCTCCTTTCTTTTCTAGTGAGGGAGGTATAATCAGAAAGAAGTAGAGTTGCTAGACCTGTGCCATTTTGAAATGTGCTTTCATCTCATGGGCTGGGAATTACTGCTGAAATAGTTTTATTCTGTCCCTGTGCCCTGTGTCTTCCTTTAATGCCCTCCACCAGTAATTATCCATATCTTACACTAGTCTTTTTCTTTTCATCCGATTCAGTGCTCTGCTTCAATACCTTACTGAATTCCTGTTTTTTTGTTTGTTTTCTTCTTCTTCTTCTCCCTGCCTGGGTGTCAGTACAGGGGTTGTGGAGAGAGAATCTCCGTGCTCTCAGTTTGAGTATTGATTCAGAATGTCTGGAGGGAGCTGAAAAAGTCGTTGCAACGAGAATTCTGCTTCTCAGCCTGGAGCTTGCACAGAGTCCTTTGAGAATCATGTTGCTAAACTCTAATGATTATCTATTAAACATGTTCCAGCTGCAATTTTTCAGAGGCTCATTATTGTATTGGATACAGGACGATATTTAATGGGAGAGAAATAGGCATCTTCACTCATATAAAACTTTTCTCCTTTCCTTACTACATTTCAGGCTTTTGTTCCAAAATGTGAAGTTGCTGTAGTTTCTTAATGAAATAGTTGTAAGGCATTTTAAAATGCAAGTAAAATATTCTATGAATGATGCTATTAAAAGCATTCATATTGAAGCACTGTCAGCGTTAGACAGTTATAGTTAAAACGGCTGAGTTTCAAGCAAGTAAGAGCAACACCTTATAGCAGAAAGCGTTTTTTGGCAACCTGATGCAACATACTTTGCCCATAATAAACCAAATTCTGTGCGTATATACATTATTCTGGAGTGGGTGGTGAATAAGAGAGCCTCAGGAGTTTGCTTCTCTTTTTGACAAAAGAGGTTTTCACTTGATGAGAGCAGAACAGTCTTAATAAGCAATCTGTATTTAGTAAGTGGATCTATATTTAAAACTATTTTTAAATCTAGATTTAAACCTAGATTTAGTATATGGATTAGGCCTGGACAACCTTCCTGCAATGGGAGACGGTTGAAGAGGAAGGTTGCTCATCAGAATGGTCTTCTGGAGGGTATGGTGGTTTGGGGGCTGGAAGATAGGGATTGGAAGGTCTTCTGTCTTTTTCACTTACTTTTCTCACTCTGTAAAACACTGTCATATAATGACTATTTAAAGAGCTGATGCAAGGCTATGCTAGGCCCAATTCAAAGGCTTACACTCCACCTTTTGTTTTTCCTCAGCACTACCTTCTGTGGGTCATAAAGATGATATCTTGTTTTATTCCGTAGAGCTGAGAATGGATATGGAATTTCAGTAAGGATTTTTCATTGCTTTCTTTGGAAACTCCAACCTTTTTTGGAGAGTCTTAAAAGCCATTTTTTGGAGATGCTGCCCTACCGTTTTTAATTGCCGGTATATGTTACTTAGATAGGAGCGTGTTGCCATACACATAGCTCCAGGTCTTTATTTTTTCCTTTCTTACTTACTCTCTTCACCATGGCCTAGCAGATAAAAGGACATCATGAAAAATTATCTTGTGATTAAAACAGCACATACATTTTATTCAGGGAGAAATTACTAAGGTGTGAGTGGAACAATTTTTATTCTCTTTTTTTCACAACAGAACCATCAAGTCTAAAATCAATATTGTTATAACAGCGCCTGATTCTTCAGTAAGTGCAAATTTTGGCAAAAGAATGAAATCTCCCAACCCTTGTAGCTTTTTAATACACATTTCTTCATACAACTTACTGTAAAATCCAGCAATCTTTACCATTTTAGTATATCTCTGAAATCCTGATGGTACTTTTAGATTATCTGTTAGGTAATTTTTGTGAAGTATTTTATCCAAATTGAAATACAGGTTTCAGTTGCCCGTTTCCCTCTTTCATAGGATGGACTGCGCTACATGAAGCAAGTGTGGAAGGCCTTTATAGGATAGCAAACGAGCTTTTGAAAGCAGGAGCCGATGTGAATGCTAGAGGAAGCGAACAAATAACACCATTACAAGATGCAGTTAAAGAAGGTCATTATGAGGTATATTCCAGTTTGAACACAAATCATGGTTTAGGTATATAAGTTCTTGTTGTTGGTTCAGAAAAGCAGATAGTGTTATTACATGTGAGCTGATCTTTTCATATTAGGAGTAGATTAGGAGATTTTAAGTCCTTTCTGCCTGACTTCTGTTCAGACCATCGCACACTTTGCAAGATTTGTCCAACAGCAGAAGAAATTGATTGTCCTTCTAACTGTTAGGGACAATAGCTGATGTACTGAGGAATACGTTACTACTGTTTAATATTACTTATTTCACTTATTTAATATTCACTTTGCAGAATCATTATATGACCTGAGCAACTCCTTTCTGGAGTTTTAATGATTTTTTTCCATGTTTTAGTAAATGTGCATGTATGGTGCGCAGCCACAACCATTCACAGACATTTTTTGTGTATCAACATATAGCGTGGACAATTATGAAAACACGGCTTTGTATTTTGTGTGGTCTTAAACAGAATGTCAACTGAATAGTCGGTGCAAATTAATTAGAATTCTTGTTGCCAAATGCCAATTCCTAGTTGAAAGAATCTGCAGATACAGGACACCTTGTGAATCCCAAGGGGGTTGTTGCTGTGGATCGAACCCTTTCTTATTTGCTCTGCTGTTATGAGAATGTATGAATGGAGAAAGAACTTCACTAGTGATCCTGTCAGTGACAGACTGGTTAGAAATAATGAGGGATTTTTAATATAGGGTGAAGGATGTGGATCAAGCCCAGTCCCCCCACGCTGAAAGGAGAAAAAGGCAGAAGTACAAGTAAAACCACTGTAGTGTAGGAATAAAATGGCAGGATTGGCCTCAGAAAGGAAATAATCAGATTGTAATGACTTAAGGTATTCTACAAAGGTAGATGAAACGTTTTGCTAAAGTAATCATCTTTTTGAATAACAACAGGTTAGGCTTTACCTTTTTATAAGGAAACCGTAATGTCTGAAACCCCTCTGAGTGGGTTTCATCTGACCAAATGTGCATTTGTAATTGCAAGAAAGAAATAGACACACCTAGAGCACTATTTTCTCTTGAAGTAGACATCTTAAATAGGTAAGCTGACTCATACCCTAAAATTGCCAGTTATTTTCCACCAATTAAGAGCTTAAGGGAAGATGAATCCTACCCTATATTTTTTTAAGCCCTTGACTTAAAACTGGCATCATGTTAATCACTGGAACCAGTTTATAGAAATGAAAATAATAAGATGTTAGGAGAATGATGCATCTAGAGGAATGCTTGGGATGTATTAACTGATGTAGGGAGGGATTATTTAGGACAGGCCTTAGATTTTTTTTTTTTTTAGCTGTTCATGTTGTTGAGTACATCAGAGAGAAGCCTGTATAAGGAAGGAGTATGGAAAATACTGTTAGAAGAGAAACAATATGAAAAACTTATTTTTCTAGATGGCAGAGTTATTACTTTGGTATGGAGCTGATCCCTTATTAAAAGATGAGATGGGAAGGTGTGCATTAGAAGAAGCTTCTGACCAGTCTATGAGGAAACTACTTAAAAGCTATGTAGCAAAGTACGGAAGAGATTCAGAAGAGATATCAGGTAGGAATGAACTCTTTTGGCATATTCATCACTCATAAATGGAGAATTTCAAAATGTCTGTTTCACTATGTTTTCTTAATTACAACTAATAATTCCATAGATTTCACTGTCTGAAGTCTAAGTTCCAGTGTGCACTCCTTAACTAACAAGAGTTTGTGCACATTGGCAGAGTGTATAAGACAGTGGTGTCCAGCTTTCTCTTTGGCTAGAGCTACCTTTAAATTCGAGATGAAGATGAGAAGCACAACAGGTATTGCCTATTTAAATGTAAGATGGGGCATGACAGGACTTGCTGAGCTATGACTATGGTGTGGCTTAGAGCTAAGGATAAGATTCGGCTCTAAACTAGCGTAGAGGCTGAGTTTAGAAGGAACCATCAGATTAAGTTTAAAAATGGAGCCTGCGAGGGCATTTGGCTAGGATTACATCTAGATCTTAGGAGTTGCTAAACTTTAACTGCTTAAGCTTTATCCTTGCCTTCTGGTAATAGGGCTGAGGCTAGGGTTAAGCTACAGTTTAGGTGTAGTATTACCTTAGCTGAGCTAAGGTAGAGGCTGAGTTTACAAGGGGTAGTTAGGTGAACATTTAGGCTAAGACTAGAGTTGTATCTGGTAAAGTTTTGTGATCTAAGCAGAGAAGAAGATTCAGAAGGGGCCACTTCATGTCAGGGGCTGGGCTGGTACAGAGAGGTGCTACAAGGCTACTGGAAGCCTTGATTAGAGTTAGAATTAGATCTATTGAACACTGATGAGCCAGTGTGGGTTGTGGTATGGTTAAATCTGGAAGAAGTTCCCAGGATAAGTTTAGCGTCAGGGCTGTAAGGAGTGGGCAGCAGTTACTGGCTTCAGACGTGGGTGGAATCAAGGTTAACATCGGTGTTCGCCTATCAGAGGCTGCTGTACCTGGGAGGTCCTGTGACTAGAGGTTAGGGCTGCAGCCACCAAGGGTCATCTAAATTTTCTGAAGTCTGAACCTGACAGAGATTAATGGGCTAAAACTATGTTCAAGGTTATGGTGTGGATTAGGATTTGGCCTACTTAATGCTAGATAGCTAGGCTGTTTGGCTTGACTGAGGACGAGGACTGGCAGGGTCCACTGAACTAAGATCAGTCCTAGGGCTAGAGTTAACATCTGGCATGTAAAATTCCCAGAAGTGGTAGAGGGAGAGATGCCGTGCTGTGAAATACCTGATAAATTTAAGACTGGCTCCAGTGCAGGTTGCTGGGCTAGCCTTGGAGCTGGGGATATGGGTTCATATTGGGGTTCAAAATAACAAAGGGTGAAGAGCCAGGTTTTTGCAGGATATGGTGTGGCCAGTCTAGTTTTAAGAACACATTGGCCAGAACTAGATGCATAGGCTTGCATGAGTTAAATATATTAAGATCTAGGGTCAGATCTTGGTGGTTGCTCTGCTCTTTTTTTATGCCGTTTTGTCTGCACAAAAAGAGGGCAGCTGGAAGGCTAAAGCAAACCACGAGTAAAGCACTAAAGTGATACTGGGGAATATCCCTGCCTATTTTCTTAGTGGTGACCTGGCTTGTAACTACTCTGTTCCTTTCCCTGCGCAACTGTGCTATACAGGGAAAGATATAAGCTGGGTTATTGTTTCACCTATTGCAGGCTCCAGAAAAGTCTCCGTGGGATCCGGGAGGCCTATTACAAAGTACATAAATGTAGTAGCTACTCTAAATTTCAAAAAGAAGTGCCCACGTTACTAATCTTCCGAAGAATTTGGAAGCATAAAACTTGCTCCTCTCCTGGTTTGTACAAGATCCCTTCTACAATGAAGATCAAGCGCCAAGATTTTCATATGTATTTTATATGTTTATATGCTTTATATTGTAATAAAACCCCTAGGACTTGCTATTTTTTCCAGCTAACTACATATGATAAGTACTATTCACACAAGATTCTGGAAACAAGATCCAATATGTATGCAGCAAAAAAATTATTATGATCCTTTGTCAATGCTGGTTTCTTTCTCTCTTTCAATTTCTTTTCAGCTGGAGAGGATGCAGAGAATATGTTAAGTGCTCAAAGTTTAGGTGATACAAACCTGCACCAGGTACATCTTTAAAGGGAATCCCCCTAATGTTTATTTGATGCTGAACTGTTATGGGTTTATTACGAGTCTTCAGTAAACTAAAGCAGAAGAGTATTTCTGAAATGTGTTTCAAAAATAGCATGTAACATACTAAATGCTTAATACCCAACAGGGACTGAAGCAAGGTGGTGTTCAACATTTTGCCAGTTCTTAGGCAAAGAGTTGCTGATGCCTACTCATATGGCTGCAGCCTCGTGAAGATGCAAGACAGAGGCAATCAGCTGTCTCTCATGGGCAGTGGTTCCTGTTGAGCTTTTACAAGTGCTGCAGAGCTAATTTACAACAAGCATGGTACATTGGTGCCTCTTTGTACGTGCAGAAACCTGACTAAAGCTGTGAGCTGTTGCCTGGATTGTAGTAGTAGAATAACTCTGTGCAATAGGTTGTTTGTGTTGGGCTTTTATAAGAAAGGGTAAGAGAGCCTCTGCCTTGCATAGGGGTTGCACAGGTCTGCTGTGAGACCTCACTGAGGTGTGGGAGCTGGTGCTTCACAGAAAGGCGAGGCACCATGGTTAGTTGCTTGGCCGTACCTTGTTTGTATACAGCACAGCAGTTTTTGGCAGTCACAGAGTTTAAAGCCATGTTCTCTCCTTCCCATTTTCTCCACTTTGAACACTGATAGCTGGTAATATGTGAAACACATACAGATGTAGCGTACAGATGCTTTTTTCTTACTTGCTGAAGTTTTATGTGGTTATGATAAATGTCCCTGTTACTCACAGCGGTATGACCTATAGTGTCCTTAGAAATGTTGTGCTCTAACAGCTTCCACGATGCCTACTCTTAAATTACGTTTTAAAACATTAGTTTATTGACGAAGAACATTCTCCAAATAGATGTTATAAACACTTTAACTGGGAAAACATATTACTGATAGCTGTATGACTGAGGCTTTCAACAGACATGTTAGTTGTTGCCATGTTTCTGCTCTGAATCTATCTCTAGATACAAAGTAATCAATAGGAGGATTATAGGTAGTCATCTGTCAGTAGAGCAGTTTTGTCGGGAATTAGTTATTTGTATTTTTGCTGTGTTATTCTCCCTCCTTTATAATTTGTTAAGATCATTGCAGAGAGTTTTGCCAGAAATGTGCAAGTGCAACTCTGGTATATGATCGTGGCAGTAAAGTAGATTTAATTTTTTAAAGGCAGAATGTCAAACTGAAATCAGATAAATTTTCAGAAATAAATAACAATGTAAAGCACTTCAATATTTTGATTTCACCCACTAATTTTTACAATTTTACATGTATACTTGTCAGTTCTTTAATTTCTCTCTCCTACTGTCTTAAAAAAGCTGCACAAGCAGAGGAGATTAGCTAACTTTATAATACAGCAGTTTTTCTTTCAGTATATAATAAAGCAGTTTATCACAAAGTGAAATGAATTATATGTGTTGTTTTGTAGACAGAGTTAAACTCAGATGGCACAGTTCAGCATGATCATACTGAGGCATCAAAGGAAGATTTTGCTAAAAATGAGCAAAGCGGAAAAACAAATTTGGTGACACACACAGAAAGTACAGTTCTTCAGGATTTGGAAGGCAGAAGACTGAATGAAAAAAATTTGAAACATAAAAGTCTAGAGTCAAAAAAGACAAAGAAATCTGTTATTGATATGGCAGAGGCTGCAGCCAAGAGTAAAATTACTCAGAAAGGTACTAAACATGGGACATATGTATCTTCTTTAGGTCCCTCTACAAACCAAGGAACAATTGAAATACAGAAAGCATTTTTCTCTGGTGTTGGACCTAATGAAATGGGCTTCAATGCTGATGTTTCTGATCATAATTATTGCAGCACAGTTGATGCTGAAGGAAATTTGAGCTTGCTAAATCAGGCGGAAATGCAAAAGGAACATGGATTCCATAGTGGTAACAATGAAAATCCGTTTACAGAAGAAAAGAAAAGAACCGATGAAAGCACAGCAACTTCTGTCATAAAAAGGGAGGAGAAAACCAGTTTACATTGCCCCACATCATCGATCTCTGCAGAAGAAATGTCTGTGAAGCATTCTCAGACTATTGATTTAACAGAACCTGATTCTCAGTCAATGCTGTCTTTGAATTCATCTCATAGTGTGTCACTTTTGAAGTTACAACAGGAAATCAAGAGTTATGATAGTGATCAGCATAGTCTCAAGCAGAGTGGCAAAGACAGCTTGACTGGCAGAAATCTAAATACTGATATGAGGATACCTTCAGAACAAATTATTTCTTTGAAACACTTGACAAATCAAGTTAAATCTGATGTTGATGGAAACAAAATTAATGGAGAGGCTCTAAATTTAAAACTCTCCTTGCCCCTGTTGCAAGAGGTTTCCTTACAGATAAATGAGTCAGAATCAGCATGTGCAAGTCTTACTGATTCAGAGCGCACAGATATATTGCAACAGACTATTGGAAATGAGGTGCAAAACACTTGCACAAATATATCTGCAGACGGAAACAATTGTGCTGAAGAAACACTTCAAACAAATACAGAAACACTGTTAGCACATGAACTTTTAGCAACTACCAACGGAGAATGTGTTTCCAAAAGTTCTGTAAATTGTAGCAGTGGAGTGCTAAGCACCATTGAACAAAAGGCTCAACAACCAGAGGAGGGAAGGAGGGTCCTGCTTAATACAGAAGAAAGTGCTGAAGGGTTTCTCACTGAGACAACTGAAAATGCTAGCAATTCAGAGATCACGTCTACAGCTTTACAACTCCATGAAAAGGAAGCACTTCAAATTCAAAGAAAGAGACAGGATCTTCATGATACCAAAATGCAAATCTGCTTTGTGGGTGGTATTAATGCAGACAAGGAGACTCCTTACTCATCTCAAATTATGCAAAGTACAGAGCAGGAAACCCTCCAGAAAATAGGTGTCTTGTTTTGTTTGAAAATAATTAGTTTATGAGTTTGTTGTGAGCATTCTGTAAATTTTATATTAAAAAAAAAAAAAAAGGTGGATCTCTAGAGTATGTATATCGCCATAAATAAATGGCAAAAACATGGAAGAGGTTGTGATATCGTCTGCCATGCCAGATGAACTACTTTTTGCTTTATATTTTTGGGGCTGCAATTATAATGAAATTCTTAATACCTTAATTTTTTTAATACTAGAGAACAGTAACGGCCATGTTTTCACAAAGAATCTTTGAAATCTTGAATTCAATCTCAGTCAATTAATATGCAGTAAATACTGGATAAAGTATTTATTATATTAAAAATATTTTCAAAAATTAAATGAGTTATTGCAGGGATATTTTAACCTAGACTAGATGGTCATTTTGATAGTAATTTTTAATATCAATTACTATTTCTGAAATTACCGAGTGTTGTGCTGTAAGATGTTCTACATTCTTTTGTTTAACCAACAGATGAAGGAGTGTTTGCTGAAATAAGTGGAACTGAAGGCACTGAAAAAAATGAAGAAGAAAGAAACGCAAAGAGTGATGTGCTCTCACAGTTTACTGAAACAGAAGCAGTCCAAACTAAAAGAGTAAAATTAGACCCTCAGGAGACAAGACAAAAGACAGATTTGTGTTCCAGGAGCAGTAAAAGCAAGCTTTCATTGAATCAATCACAGTTCAGCCAAAGATCAAAAGGGCAAACATCGAAGAAATCAGGTGAAAGATTAATGATATTTTATAAAGGCAGGGTTTTTTTTTTTCCAGATATATAGGAAGGAGGTTTTTTGTTATACATAAAGTGTGGAAAAGTATATTTAACATGTGGAATAAATACTCCAATGAGTTTCAAATTCTTGAAATATTGCCAGAACTTCTGTTCAGAAGGCACATACTTACTGTGTTTTATTTATGCTAAGTTCATGATTCCTTTCAATGTGATAACTAAGAGGGATGTAGAATCATAACTGAGAGCTCAGAATAACGTCAAATAGGTCCTCAGTTAACGTGCTTTATGTATTACAGAATAAAACCTAGCTCTCTTCTCCGTTCTTTATATTTGGCACACATATATCCACTTAGATTTTATAGACCATATCCTCAGCATATCCTACAAATCATCATAGGCTCTGATTGTTCTGGTACGTTTGGTTTTAGCTGCAGTATAGAGACAAACGTATTCTGTGTGGATAAAGGATCTAGTGTCCATTTCCAACAGGTATATTCTCTTCTCCCTGCACACAGAGCTTTCTGTTAAGCAGTTTTATCCTGTTTTAAGACTTATATTTATCTTTTAGCCTTGCCATCATGATAGAGCTCAGCTCCAACTGATTACTGCATAACGCACAAGTATTTTTCACTTACTGCTCTTGGATAAAGCTGACGGTCATCTTGTATATTTTGTTTCTTTCTGGAACCTCCATAGTGCTCTAGGACTTAGAAACTTCTTCTCTTAAAACATTTGTATGCAATGTATCTGGACTCAAAATATACCTGGATTCAAAAACGTTTATCTTCCTGTCATCTGGCTTTCTCATTAACTTGTGCTAAAATGAAAAGAAACGTGTCATTGGAAGATAGAAATACTTTGTGTCATTTTGCCTTGATATAGAGTAGAGTATTTGTCTTTTCTGATTATCTTAGACAGTTCTATCATTTCTCTGTAGTAATTACGAGTTTGGGGAAGATTTTTGTTCTATACATTTTTAAATATTACCTTATTAAAGTCTTAGCTGCCTGTGACTCTCTCCTTGTGTTCTTTTGTTTTTCATGGCAGTTTTCTACAATTCCTTATTTATAGTTGCTGCTATTCACTTCCCATTTTTTCATTTCTCATTTACTATTGCTCTCTGATTCCATCCCTAAGCTAGGTTAACTTTTGAATCAGTGTAGCTTTTTATCTTGAGAGTGGAATATGTTGTGAAATATTTCCTAATTATCATTCTTTTTTTTTCTACTGAAATTTTTTTCTTCCAGCCGTTTTTTATTTATAGTTGTTTCAGCTCTGTGAAACTGGCCCTTTTAAAGAGCTACAATGTCAGTATAAATGTATGCTTTGTATATACATACATAGTAAAATGTATATTAAAGATACAGGTTTACAGAAGTATGTGTGAATGGATGTGTATATATGTGTGTGCATGTGACACTTGATTTCTTTAAAGTGTATTCAGCAAAAAAATTTACTTCAAAAAATGTACTGTTTTACTTGCACTAGTTGCATGTTGCTGTATTCTGTTGGTCAAACTTTGATTGCCTCTGAGTGGGATATTACTCAATGGTGGGATATAACTCAATGCTAATTCCTTTCC